GCAGGGGACACCCTGGACGCCAGTTACAGACAATTTAGAATCACCAATTAACCTCAGCATGTTTTTGGACTGAGGGAGGAAGCCGGAGAACCCGGAGAGAACCCATGCTGCACGGGGAGAACTCCATGCAAACTCCACGCAGAAAGATCCCGGGTGTCCTCACCGGGACGTGAACCAGCGACTTTCCAGCTGTGAGACGACGGTGCTAACCACCGAGCCACCTTGCAGCCCTTATCTATCTAATCAGAATGTTCTAATAACTCTGAAATAAACTCCAACTGATCAAAAATGCTGCAGTCAGAGTTCTGACAGGAACTAGCAAGCAAAATGTTTTGGCACAAGGCAGTACCAGCCCCGGGGTTAACCTCACGAGAATCCCTGTTTTTTTTTCTTTTAATTTCCTGCCCTGTTAAATTTCTTCTGCCAAGCGTTCTCATCAACCTGAATGGACTTAACAATGCTTTCAGACCACAGTTGCTGGATCGGCCAAGTAAGCTATCCTGTTACCGCACTATGACGTCTCCAGAGCAGGGAGCGTCTCAAAACAAGTTCATGGCTTTTGAGAAAAACAGTCTGGCTTGTCTTACAATGCTCAGCAATTTTTGGCTAAGGTTTCAAAGTTGCAATGATGGGAAAGAACATCTGTGACAGACTGTACTCAGCCCTGCTCTCTTGTGTAGTATATGGGATAATGAGAGTGGGGATCAGGAGGTGCTTTCATCGCAATGAGGTGTCCTCACTCTCACCTGTGACTGAGCGTGATCACACTGATCCCCTTTAATTTACATCTAACAGCTGCTGCAATAACGCTGCTGTTTTAAAGCCTGTTAAAGCAGACAAAGGTTAATACACATGGAAAAACTCACAGGGCACAAAAGGTGTATCTCCTTCTAAATTTAAATCCATTTTTGTTCTGAAATCATTACATACAAAGATATTTGGTGTTTGTTTTGTAAGCATATGACAGTCACCCAAAAGAATTGAAGTACCGTCATTTCCGGACTATAAGCCGCTACTTTTTTCACACGCTTTGAGCACTGCGGCCTAAACAATGATGCAGCTAATTTATGGATTTTTACGGTATTTACGAATTTGCCTCGACACGAAAGTGACACTGAGAGCAACAACGAACGAGAGACTGAGGAAGTGTGTGACGAAGTAATTCTTAGGTTGTTCAATTCCAACACTGAAGAAGACGACTTTAGTGCTTTTAGTGAACAGGAAGAAGATGAAGATAGCGATCACTGACTTTTCCTAGTAAGCTACTGTATTTTTTATTTTTTTAACCAGCCATGTTACAGGCACTGTTTGGAAAAAAGCATTTATGGTACATGTTTGTGTATGTTACCGGTACATATTTAATTAAAAGTTAAAAAATATCTCATGTTACAAGGTGGACACCTGTAGCTTATAGACAAATGCGGCCTATATATTTACAAATTTTCTTTTCTTTTTAAAGTTCGTGGGTGCAGCTTACATTTAGGTGCACTCAACAGTCTGAAAATTATGGTAACTTGCATTTAAATTTGTGCCATTACAGTGTTACAATTACACTGATGTTATTGCATGGGTCTGACTTTTTGGGACCAGATGACAATGTTGGCACTGTAATGTGACTGGTGCAACACAGGCCATTTTGAGCAGACTACTGTATAGGTATAAATAGCACTATATAAATAGCCTTTCCCAGCTGACTTAGGGTGAAGGCAGGGCACAACCTGGACAGGTCGCCAGTCTATTGTTGCAGGGCTACCAATAATAATTTAAATGATTAAAAGTGTATGTAAATATATTAACTGTTAAGGAAGAAGCAAAGAACAAGCATGTCAGAAAATGTATTGTAGACTAGCTGCTTGCCCCTTAGACTTTATTGAAATGAGGTCTGCAGCTTGGTGGCATGGTTAATACTGTAGCCGCCAAAAGAGACGGGCGCTTGTTTTATGTTGACAAGCAGAGAGTATGGTGGCGGTTAAGCAAACACTGGGCCACCATGACAGACTTCTGTGGTGGTCAATGGCTTTGGGCCAGAGCTCACATGTTAACGATGAGCCTTAGTTACTGAGGACAACGTTCCTAAATATTCTCACAAAGTTTTTTAAGTTAATAATGTGGTTGACTGTCAGTAGAGAAAATTATTAAAAAATTGCATTCCTAGTCGACATAAATCAATTTATGCGTAATCATATTAAACTAATAAAAGCATGCGCGCACGCTTTTATTACAACAATCAAGAGAATTTTAAATAACAAACATTTCTATAGGATTCAATTTTAATTCACCAAGACCAAACAGGTGAGATTCTTCAACCTAAATAACCTGTCATCACCAACACAACTCAAAACTACACTTCAACTACAGTCACAATATATTATCCAAAGTGGTTTTACCTCACTGAGTTTCACACTTCACTAAACAAGGATGTCGACCATCACCATCCTTATTTGAATAACTTGCTGTAGCAAAACAACAAAATAACATCAAATGGAATTCAAAGCGCTCGTTTAAAATGAAAAAATAGTCTCCATGCAGATGGTACATAGCAACATAAAGGATTCCTTTATCTTTACCATCTATCCCAAAAAAACATTCAAAACAACAATTCCCTTTTCTGAATTACAGAATTCTGTCAGTACCAACAACTTCAATTCATTTTTAAACATGAACAATAATCCACTAACTCAAACAACCTTTCAACTTAGTAGGTGAAATCATAAAAATCTAAGACTTTCATCTCTAAATTCTAAAAACTTACATCTAATAACTAATAGTAAATGGGAAAGTGACCTACCAATCTCTTCTAAACCTGACCACTGGACGCAAATCTGTAAAAATGTCTTCTCTATGACACATAATGCAAGTTAAAGTACAACTGAAGATACAATGTTACAGATGTGTTTAATGAACGGAGACTTTGGTCACAGTGCACTTTGGGTGATATTGACAATTATTTTAATGTCACCCGAACTTGCCAACTGGTTCACTTCTTTTAGATAGTGGCAACTAAGATGCTATCTTCCACACAATATTGTCAAGGATGTCCAATTCATTCTGCAGCATGACAGTGACTCCAAACATACAGAGAGGGACATAAAGAACTGTCATCAATGACAACAAGAACAAGGTGACCTGGAGCAGATGTTGCTTTCCAAGTGGAACACAAACTTTACAGCTCTTTGGGTTCTCGTAAATGTTCAGTATTTGAGGTAGCGGTGCTGAGGCTGCTACAGTATGGACCTTTTAGATTGTCAGTCAAGCACAGTCAGTTTTGAGATGCTTATTTGTGTGTCAAGAATCAGATGCCTTAAGGGGATATTGTGATGAATCATTTTTGAGCTTGATGCTACTGACAGTAGTCACTGAGTTGCTACTATTTTTCACCAGCTTTCATTTATTTTTTTTTGGCAGCTGTCATGGTATTCTTTAGAAGATGCATCAGAAAGGCAAAGGTGTTGTTGCCATAGATCCATAAGCCTTTCCTCTGTTTCATAGGTACATCGAGCAGCAGGAGCAACAGCATCATTCTTTTTTTTGCTTGTACGTGGTTCTGGGCCCCTACAGGTCAGGGCAAAGAGAAACATCATGGAAATTGTTGTACAAGATGAGAGGAGATCTAATTTTGGCGTACAAGAGAATGCACTGGTTGTCATCCATTAGTGTCATCAGAGGTGTTTGTATCTTCCACTACGTCTGTTATCTCTTTTGAGGGAAAAAATGCTGCTAATTTTTTATTCATTTCATTTATTTATGTTAATTATGCCATTGCCAATAACCTTTTCTAATGCGATATTTCAAAATGAACATTAAAAATAAGTTATGGAGACACAGCTAGCAGCATAACATGGAGGTTTACTGTGTACCTCCTCACAACACCAGATCTCACGGTCAGGGAACCAACACAACGACAAACGTCCACTCAGAGGTTTGAAGCGGAGGTGGTTTTTTCCCATATATATCCAAAACCATTTAATCCTCTATTAAAAATTGCAAACCTTCTGCCAACAGGCTTTAGTATGCTCCCAGTTTATATTTACACATACAAAGTGAGGAAAACTTAACTTTTGTTTGGGCTTTAAGCGCAGTACCTCTTTAGGGCACTGTTATGATGCCTTATATCAGATATCCCAGAGTTGCCTGTTCCTTCGCTTGAGAAATTTCTGAGTGCAAACACACTCTGAACACATTGTTCAAGGGCCCATTTATTTCTCTGTGAAGCAGAGATTGGTAGAAACAAAACCCAGTGATAACAGGCAGGTGTTTCCTGATAGCCAGCGTTTCATTCCCACTGAAAAGGTACCTGACAAGCAGTTTGAAACTTGTTGGGAAATTCTAGTTGCTTTAATAAAAACATTGAGGTGGTATTTGGGGTTGTCAACACTGATTTACGGTTTTGTTTTCTTCAACTTGTGCTCAGCTTTCTCGCAGGCCTCCTTGAGAAGAGTAATTTCATCACTTCTGTACAGTGGTTTGTGCTCGGTTGTAGTCCACTTCACTTTTCTGGTGCAACACTACAAAAGGCAGACTTCAGTATTCGAGTCATTACTGGTTCAAGTCAAGGAAATGTGTTGCTTGCAAATGATTACAAATATGTTTAGTAAAATTCTCAACAACTTCAGAAATAAGATTCCTGACAACTGTGTAGGAAGACTGCAAGAACAAACTGAAGTAACAGTGACAAACAGCCAACTCAGTTACAGAAGATACCCCATCACACACTAGTGTTAGTCAAATGTGACTGTTAGTCAGCCAACATTTAAATTAGTCCACAGACCTCAGAACATTTAGAAACCTGTGTATGAGCAATGTCATTGCTTGTACTATAACTTCATATTTTGGTGCATAAATAAATTGTTTAGATGTATATAATGTTTAAAATTTAAGCTGTATAACTTTTACTTGGAGGCACCTAATAACCTGTTTCAACTATTCATAAGTTGAGTTTTGGAGCAACAGCATTACAAAATTTCCAATGCGGCTCACAAAGACAACAAAGAATGACTTACAGATGTGAAGGCCAGGAGCTCCTCTTCTGTTAGTTTGTGAACAGGGTTATTCTTCTGGAAGTTAGTGCTGCAAGAAAACCACATTGATCAAGACACAGTATAGCCATCATCCACATCATCAACAAAATGAACCCTGCAAAACAGTTTATGGAATTGTTAAAAGCAACATGTTTTGATCTATTGTAAAAATAACTTGTTAAGTGTAAGTGTAGGTGCTGACAGGAAAGCTTAGTGAACTTTTGTTCACAATTACACACTGTTTTTTGTTCCTGTTGAACAGCTTATAAATCCAATCATTAGAGCCACTGGGATACTGGGGGGGGAAAAAACACACAATGAGACAGTGACTAGTACTAGAGGACGACTGCAAGGGATCGCAAAACAAATACAAAGAGATGCAAACAATGTACAGAATAAAAAAGGGCAACCACAAAGGGGTGCTAAATGACTACAAGTCCATGCAAAACAACTATTAAGAAGTGTAAAATAATCATAAAGCATTGAAAAGTGACCACAAAAAGACAAAACTGACACAAAGAGAAAAGCTTTCAACTGTTGTAGCAACTCGGAGTTTGCATAGCTGTCCAAACCTAGCATACTTTTGAGCAGGTTTACTATATTCTTGGATTAGAAAGTTAAGCTCAAGGCCCACTTACAGTTACTAATTACTGAGCTTTCAAATCATCATAGTGTCTTCTTCACTGGAGTGACCCACTAAAAGCTCCAAGGTCACGTTGAAACTTCAAGCTCAACACATCTAAGAACTATCGATCTAGTTCCATGGCAAATGAAAAAACTTCATCTACTGATGAAAACCATATGACACAGTTGAAAGTTCTGGACCATTTAGTAAACCTCAAACTAAGACTGTGTTGTTAAACTGTTTCCAAGGTCAAATAGGAACGTTCTAACAAAACTGTTTTTGTTGGGTGATTTTTGAGATGTCTCATTGGATTATTAAATAAAGACGGCCAGTTTAAGACCCCTTTATTTCATGTCAAGTACAAAATCCATTCTAAGCTTTTAAAAGTGCCTTGCTGAAAAGGTACATGTAAGAGGTGCCAAGAGCTCAGTGTATTCACAGAGGGAGAAAAAAGAAACCAGACAAGGTCACATTCCCAGAGTTAAAAGGACCATGGAGAACTCAAATCTCTGATCCTCCTGACCAGGGACTCTTCAACTTTTTAAGCCCTTGGCTAAAAATTAATAAAAGGTAATCACATCCTGGGATGTGCTCTCATTAATACAAGCAGCACTGACAATGAAGAGGCAATTAAAATTTTTCAAAGCACCGCATGTCTGGTCAAACTGACCGCTTACTTTTCCCCGAATGTCACCCAATCACACCAACACTGTGTCTACAGCATACACAGTTCAGTCATCACTGTTACATTGAAATATGCTCCCAATTGCTTGTTTAAATTCAGCATAAACATGGTGTGCTCACTCTTTGGAAGACTCCAGAGGTACAAGATACTCTTCTGACATTGTCTTGGAGCAGCATGCAGGTGCACAGATCTACCTGTAATTTAAACAGACCTGCTGCTCATCAATCATCTCCTAGCAATCTCACTGACTGCTCCATTGACCTTCACTTGACCCGTCCAGTCCCAGCAGCAGCATGGGAATTAATCACTGACTCACTGTGAAGCTAACTGGTTTTATATTACACGGGTGTCTTCTATTCACCCTTTTGCCTCGATGAAACCACCGGTACAAACAAGCTCACAATTTACAGGCACTGAGCCGTGAATCCAGGAGAAATCATGGGTCACAAAGAAAGGAATGAGGTCTCCAGAAAGCATGAGGAGGAGAAAAAGAAGTGCTGATAAGTGCCTTCGACTTGACTTACTAAAAGACACACCTTATGAAATGATAAAGCAATAACTGCGCACTCACAAGTGCTCACAAAAACACAAGTGACACATTTTAACATGATGTATCACTAACTTCAGCTACCCACTGCAGTGTACTACTGATTCTGGGACACATTGTCTTTAGTCTGAGGGGTGCTTAGATAAGTTCTGAGACTGAGCTCATAAAAAAAAAATCTAAAACTTTATCTGAGAGAAATAAAGAGGAAAACTACACCAGACCAACAACAAGTCTATTGAGTTAGTCCAAATAATTATCCACTGAATAAATATGTACCATGACTATGCAAAAAGCTTTGATGGTAGCCACTCTTTTCCAAGTTGTTTGGAAAGTCAGAGTGACACATCAGGCAATATAAGCTATGAATATGGAATATATTCATGCTCAGGCCGACTAAGCTGAACTGAGAGGGTCGTTAGCTCAAAATTAATGTGCAGGATGGTGGGAAATTATTTCAGTCCTTGGGCTTTGGATGCAGCATATGACAGATAAACGCTTGAGTTTTTCGACAACCATCCAAGTTTCTCCTGAAGTTCAGATCGCTGCAAATTAGCACAATATACAAGCAGTGTGTTTACATGAGCAGAGGGTGTCAGTACCAGTGGAGAGCTCTGAAGCAGCAGACTTACCAGATGCCCAGGACAACGGCCTGCTCCTCGGCGCTGAGGTCAGGCAGCTCGTACTGATCTGGCTCTGCTAAATTGATGTTATCCAGCACAGTGTCATCACCCAGATTGTAGTCCTGTCAGCATGGAAACACACATGAAGTCAGATGTGCACACATATACAGCACTCACAAAGTACGGCACTAAAAACAAAACACCAAGTACTGCCAACTAAGTGGACAAGCATTTGGTTTATGCATTACATATGCTAGAAAAACTACTGGCAGTCACAAATTAAAAAAAGAAATCTGCAGCACCGTGATTTAGCTTGACTAAATACATTAATCATGCTGCTTTTTAAGTTGGCATTTTCATGAAAATATGAGGAGTTACTGAAAATTCACTCGTGCTACTGAACATTCACTGATACGTGTAACAGTCTAAGATTCCAGCCAAGTGCTGGCAACCACTGGATGTAAGGTATCAAGCAGCAAAGCCTGAACTGTACACTGTACTGTTACAATTGGTGGTAATAAAGATGTGACCCAAGCAAACACAGGATGATTTTTCTTGAAGATACATTTCACAACTCTCTCCGTCCTGACCTCCACAATGTGACGGGCTCAGTCGAGAGAAAAACACAGAACACACGGGAAAGTAATTTCAGGCACATCACAGAGTACAGCAACATGGTTCCTTAACTTGAAATTCACTGAGCTAGAACCGCACTTTGTTTGGGGATCTAGGCACTGATCAGCCCTGTACTAAAGTCTTTCGCCTGTTTAAGTCAAAATTGGACAAGCAGCAGATCAGAGTCCACCACACGTCTGCACACAAAATTTTAAAGTAATTCAATTATAGCTCTAATGGAATTATTTAGAGAATCGTGGTACTTGTTGTAGACATTACTCATGTTTGTGTCCATTTCGTAACTTGACCAAATATATCTGTCTTCTGAGCTTTTGCTTCTAAATCTCACAAGTGGATTCCTCTAAAAGCTCTCTTTCAGGTGCAAAATTGATGAAAAAAGCAGTACTGAAAGGGCCACCACCATGACCTCTGCATACAGGTGATGTTTTGGAAACGTTATTGTTTCCAAGTAAGTCACATTAACAAAAAATCAGTGAAGAGTTTTTTCCTTCAGTCATGTTGTTGCAAAACAATCATGTATTCGGAATCGAATAGAATAAAATAGAAATACTTTATTAATCCCCAAGGGGACATTTGGTTGTTACAGCACAAAGGTAAAGTTACCGCCACCATAAATACAGATAAACAAGCAAAAATAAACAATAAGAAGTATAAAATGCAAAATGTATCCAAGTTTGAACACCAACAATTAACAAAAAAGTGAGCAAAATTACAAAAATCACCAACAGTGAACAGGAGTTACTGTAACAGGCTGCTGCTGCAAACAGCGCTTTGGTTCATTCATAGATTTATTATAGGTCTTTTAGAAATATGACAAAATCTTCTGTATCTGGACCATGGGATGTGGCCTATGAAGGTGAGTCTTTCAGAGACTAAACGTGCAGTTCTTCCCTTAAAGAGATAGGTGACAGAAGATGTCACCTCTTCAGTATCATGGGTTTCACCACTATGTTCACATAAATCAAAAGTAAACAAGCTTCTGGATGTATCTTTGACCAACTAAATTTGTTGGCTTTCTGACACAGACTTGTTCCTTCAGCACATTCCATAGATTCTTGATAGGGTTTAGGTCTGGACTTTGAGAAAGCCAGTGTAAAGATCTAGCCTGATTTAACCATTTCTTTGCCACTTTTAATGTGTGTTTGGGATCATACACCCACCAGTGTCCAAGACCCAACCTTCTGGTTGATGATTTTAGGTTTTCATGAAGAATGTGGAGGTAATCCTCTCTCTTCATATCACTACCACTACCATGCTTGACGGTAGGTTAGGTGTTCTTGGAGGTAAAGTCCTCACTTTCTTTCCACCAAAACATATCTGAACATTGTGGCCAAATAGCTTGAATTATGTTGAATCAACTTTCCTCCAGAAGGCCTTTCTTTGTCCATGTGAGCCTTAAGGTGCTGCTTCTCGAGGAAGGGCTTTCTTCTTGCATGGTAGCCTCTCAGCCCATGGTGATGTAAAACACATCTGTGTTCCAGCAACTACTAATTTATTTCATCTTTTTGATTTTTGGTGTTTCTTGGTTGTCTCTTGACCATCCCACAATGTACAATTCTACAATTTCATTTGGAAGACGCTTTTATCCAAAGTAACATACATCTGAGAGTAGATACACACAAGCAAGGGTCTAGTCAGGAGAAAACAATCTAGATAAGTGCCATAGAACAAGTTCAAGTGTGTTAGGGCGGTGATGCCAATAGCAGGCTGTGTGGGAGGTAATAGGAAAATGTTTTTGTTTTTGTTTTCAGTCTGTCAAGTGCAAAGGTGTTGAGTGAAGAGATGGGTCTTTAATCTTTATTCTTTAGTCTGACTAACTGCCTCTCAGCAGCAGGTGATAGCTTGCGTTCCTGAACATGGCAGTGACACAACTGTGCTGTGCATTTTATTTCTATATCCTTACAAACAATTGCTTGCACCAATGGTTTTAAAATTATCTGTCCAAATAAAATGAAAATTGGATTCACACAGCTTGCTACATGACCAAAACTGATCATTTACGTTGCTAACAGAAGGTTGCAAGAAGCTTGTGGAAAGTTATCCAAGTGCCTAGTTGAGGTGGAAATGGCCAAGGGACAATTAACCATTAGCATTGCTGTAAAAGAATAAACAATTATGACTGAATTGTGTTTCAAAGATTCCTTCATAGAAAATTGTCAAAACTCATTGAAAACTCAAGGCTGCCATTATAAACATGTTTTTTTTTTTCTACAAGTGTATGTAAACTTTGCTTTCGTTGTCAGACAAAAGTACATGAATAAAATGGTGACTAAAATGCAGCATATTAAGACTACACAGCAGTCACTATAGTGCTGTGTGATACTGCAATATCATCTGACAAACTCACCATATACACAAGATAAAGACAATGACTGTGCTGTGAATTCCTCTGTATTTACATGTATAAACTGCATTTGATGTGTCTTTGGAAACTATCAAAACATACTTAAACATGAATGAGCCTTTCACAAGGCACAACAATATGTGGACTAGTGCTTTATAGTAACAGTGGAGCATTACTGACAGAAGCCTTTTTTTTACTTGGTGAATGTTTTCCAACAATGAAGAGTCTAATTCTACAACAAGAATCATGGTCCATTAACTACAAGTCAAATTAGATTTTCAAAATAAATAAGAACATTATATTCTAAGATTATACTGTTTATCTTACAAATGTTAACACAATTCTGCAACTGTTAACCTTAAAGTGAGGTAAATACCTAACCAGAGATTTTGGGTGATACCACTACTGACTGCATAACAGTAAAGGTCATAGTAAATCATGTGTTAAATTCACACTCAGATTGTGAGGGAACAAAATGAAAGGCACAGCACAACATTCATGTATGTAAATCTGCCCTTTGTTTCTCAAGAAGTGGTCACCTGTGGTACTCAGCACTTTGTATGCTGATCTAGACTCAAGTCGTAGTAAGTGACTCGACCAACAACAGATGAGTATAAGAACTGGGCAATAAACTGAACTGTAGACAGGAGACTATCCATAATCTTTGACATTTACCTGCATGCACACATACGCATCAGGTAGAGTTTGGGGTTCAGAGTTTTTCACAAGCATTCCTAGACATATGCTTACCCACAAACAAGGCATCAAATATGAAGTATTCTGAACCGTAAGACTGAATGATGCATGACAGTCACTGAGCGTGAAGTGCATTTCTCTCGTATAAACAGCTTCAATACAAACCCTCTGCTGTGACAATTTGGTTTGGCACCAGCAACAAGAACTCTGGACTGGACTTGCTTTCATTAGAAAAGCACTTGAGTGCCAAGGCCAGTCAGACCCACAGCAACAGAAATGGCCCGAATTCCCTATTGGCAGTGGTTTCGATTGGCCAGTGATGAACAGTTTCTTCTACGTGCCTGTCTACTTTCCTTCTATCCATTTGAGATAGGAAGCCAGTGAGCTCTAGTTAATGACAGTCTTGATTGAGCCCATTTACTCCCCCTCCTCCAGTAATGAGGACATTAGTGGTCTGAGTGCAGCACAAGGAACTGGACCTGGGCCATGGCCACAAGAGCTCTGTGGACACACTCCAGCAAAGGTTTAGAAGATTTCAAAAAAGATTAAACCAATGTCTCATTCCTGAGTTCTTTAGCACTAACCTAATTGTATCTGGTATGGATCGAGTTCCTGTATCATTACCAAGAAGGTTATGTTGTATTTGTAGCCTATGAGTCAATGAAGAACTACTTTGGTGTATTTTTCAGTTCATTGCACACTGCTCAAGTTCTCAAAGTCTTAAAACTAAATAGCAAAATGTTTTGACTGCCTACTGTCATTCCAACTAGCTGCATAACATCAAACATTAGTGTCTAAAACCATTACAAATTATCACATGTGATTTTAAGGTCTATCCAATTGGAATTTTTTCCACTAAATGTGTTCTTTTATTGTCTTGGTTTTTCTACATACTGTTTTTTTCAAAGTCTGTCCCATCTGACATAATTTGCCATAGTTCTTGAATTCACTGTGCAACTGCAACCAAATTTGGATGAAACTTGTAGATACATCTGATGTTGGCCCAGGCCAAATTTGATGGCACTTCACCAACCAAAATGTCACAACATTCACTGTTTCACTAATAGTGCTCTAACCATATGATAAATATAAAAGGCTATAACAATGGACTATGTAAAACTGGCCTGCAACAAAGTCTTGATATTTTTTAGAATTGTGCAGTCTTGGTGCAAGCATGCATTGGATTTCTAGGTTGATGATGTTCCAATGCTTTGTTTTCTTGGATTATGTGTTAACAAGATTTCTGCAAGGTTCCCTTGAGGGTTTAAGTTTTCTTTATTTTAAGGACCTTTGGAATCTCCACATAGTGTAAAATGCTATTGAATGTGTGTTTCACAACCACACTAGCCAAAGTATGAAAAGTATAATGATAACTCAGTGGGAATAACAAAGCTGGGAATTTCTCTCGAACCAAAATGCTGCTCTTCTATCATGTATGGCTTGTTGCCAAACTAGAGAGCATCCTGCAGTGAAAGGTAGATGTAAGCAAGTAGAACAAAAGGAGTCAGCAGGAGAGTAATTGACTGTGCAGAGACCTAAAATAGAACCCATGTAGAGTGAGGAAATGTATAGAGGGGATGAATGGGAGACTTATGAGGTATGACGAAGGAAAATTAGATAATTACTGTGCTGAGAATGTGTGTGGGATTGCTCAAAGGTGTGTGCTGTAAAGCCCTTTCAAAAACACACTTTTTCCTCTGGTCTTCCCTAAAATCTGAAGAGCACAGTGAAAAATTTTGAGAGTAGTCATTCTTCTCTTTTCTGCTTGTTAGTGTTTTGATATCTATCTGACCAGCACTTCATCATGAAGTGGTTGACACACTGTGAGCACTGGGGTTCTGACAGTGCAGCTTAGCAAAATGCTGACAGCGAGTAATTCAGAGTAGACACAGATATCTGGCATTTTCAGATTATTGATATTGTTATTTTTATTGACCGACTATCAAAAATAAATTAAATACGCTGCTTTGGCTGTGATGCACCTAGCTCTCTCATTCTGCTGTCAGTGTGGTAAATCTCAAATCATCGATCCCAGCGAACAGGAGAGCATCGCAGCATCGCAGCATCACATGAGGCACAAATGTCATCAGTGTTACTAAATGTATAGTCACTTACAATGTGCAGCTAAAACTAAAAACTGGATCTATAGATATGTTCGTACAGTACCATTTTCTATGAATTAGGATATTTAACAGTATGTTTTAAAGCCAACATGCCCTTAAATTCCCAATATCAAAAAAAGCCTAAGCAGAGGCTGAAAATGATCACAATATCCAACAGATGGTCATGAATCCACAAAATGTTGTCTTACCAGTTTTGAAAATAGAAGGAGATTAAAATAAAGGTCCATGTACTGCATGGGGAAACCACCAGGTCAACGGAATCAACAAGTGTCAAATGGTGTTAAGAGTCCAGCAGTATACCCTCTACCCTCTACTGATGATGCTGGGTATTGCAAAGTATTCGCCACCATGGTACATTCTGGGTTAAAACAAAAGTTTAGGGTGTTTCCCAACAGCTGAACAGTCTTGCTGTAGCATTCATTCATGATGGACAAGTAGCAAAACAGCTGCAGGACTGGAGAAAATGTGGTTCAAGCAAAACTCTGACTAAAAGTGTCTGAAAATAGGTGAGGGTAGGTGTTGTACAAGACAAGCTCATCAGTCATTCAACTCATTCAAAAGGCTCAAAGTGGTGGATGAAGTACCAAAAAACACTATGTTGGGAAGAAAACAGAAGAAGTTTTTACCTTTGGTAGGATGGCTTGTGGTGTGGGAGTGGGACTGGCCTCAAACTTCATCTGATCAGGCTGATCTTGCTTTCTTTTGACCTCAAGGATGAGCTGAGCCAAATACTTCTGCTGGAAACGAGTCCGTTTGCCAAGAGCACCTAGGTTGACCAGATGCCATCAGCTCCGCATCCAAACAGTTCAGACTCCCAGTGATCAAGCATCCTTTCAGTTTATTCAGTATTACTACCAATATCCGAGGACTGGATTCCTCAGAGACATCATTCATGCTCTGGAGGTACATTTAAACATTTTGCATGTATTAGCATCTAGCTGGGCTAGCTTCTCAAAAAGAGAGGAGACAGGAGGGAACAGCTGGCCTGACTTAGTCCAAACCTCAGCCATGAATTGTCTTCTTTAATACATACACAAACAGAAAGACATTTTTACATTTCTGTTGTGTGCAAATTCAACAAGACAAAATATGTTAAGAAGGGTAGAATTTTTCCTTTGTTGGTAAAGAAATGTTTTAGGAACTGTATCTGGACCATGGGAAGTGACTTCAGAAGGTGAGTCTTTCAGAGAACTGAAAGCTCAGAGACTAAACGTGCAGTTCTTCCCTTCATGAGATAGTCGACAGAAGATGTCACCCCTTCAATATCACGAGTTTTACCACTATGTTCACATAAACTAAAAGTAAACAACTGAAAGGTTTGTTGAGCAAAATGAAGCCACATTTTCCAGAATTTTCTTTTTTCTTTTCAGGAAAGATTTGGGAAACATTTTGTTTGATTTTAAAATGTAGTTTTTAGTAGGACACAGTTTTGTTGCCTCTTACTGACTATACAGATATAACAGCCTCATTCTATGCTCAAGAGCCATTAAATTTATCCAGATCTCAGTGACAAGGTGTTGGTGTTCTTTACGTACCAGTCATGTTGATGTTGAGCCCTGAGAGCTCCTGGGCCTTCATGATGTGTTCCCTGGCTGACTGATACTCATAGTAGGTTAGGTTAGTGTAGGCACACTCCAGGTAGAACTGAATAGCCAGGTTTCTCTGCTCCGACAACACAGATTGGCATTTCAGCACTGTAAACAAACAGAAACAAGAAAAATCCATTGAGCACGCTTACAAAAATAATGCCTAGAAGTGTTTCTCAGTGTACTTCATACACAAAAAGTACAGCAAGAAAAAGCGAACATAAAAAAATTAGGTGAACACCGTCTTCAAAACATCACAAATTCTCCTGAGTACACTTGCACAGTAGGGGGTCAGACCATCTGCTGTAGGACTCTTGTGGCTTAAGACAGTTCTTTATGACCCTGGCTGGGTGTTTGGGCTCACTGTGGGCTCACTGCTGCAGGATGAATTTTGGGCACGTCAGATCCCTCTTTAGCAGAAGATTCTAAACATCTGAACTGCATAAAACGTTTGCACTGTAGCTGCAAGAGACAAGTCAAGACACTCCAGCCTAGATACAGTGAGACACATCAGTCAAGCAGCTTACGATGTAAACATGCAGCAAGACTTCTGAAAAGATAATGGACATTCAGAAATAATCAGATAAAAACAGAAAAAGACCACGTTTCTAAGCGTTCGCTCAGCACCATCCATACGAACCAGCACAGCCTCACTCTTCACAGGTCCCAACCAAAGAACCAAAGCCTTGAGGTGACTTGTTCAAAAGGCAAACCGAACATGGAGGTGATGGTGAGGCAGGATAAAAACTCTGTCAACGCCTTCTCTGAGCTGCATGCTCTTTCTGTCCCTCCAATCTGATTACAAATTTGGTCCCATCATGGAGATAGGCAGATCATCAGCTAAACCGGCAGGAGTACCAAATTCATTACCAGAAATCCTACACTTCCATACCCATTCAACATTAATAAAGCAACGCCAGGGCTGATGGCACCAGGGAGAAAGGAACAGACAGTGAGATTTACAAGCTAAACTTCAGTGTCACCTTTGGCAATTTCACACTGTAGGAAAATGACTTTGATGGCTGTGTGAGTTGCAGAGTTGAAAGAAAGCAAAACCTCTTCAAGTACTAGTTTGGCTTTTGACTAATTGCAGTATTTTACATATCTGTAGAGTTAAACAGCATTATAGAGGCTTTCTTTATTTCTTTGTATGCAGTTTGCAATGTGTTTAGCTATGCTAACAGCAGATTCTCGGTAACGCAATATCATCAGTCAGTTCTTTACTGAGGTCCACAACTAAAATGTATCAAGATTAGATGGAGTACGGGCTGCAAGGGGACTTGGAGGTTAGTAGTGTTGCCTCACAACAAGAAGGTCGCCGGGTCGCGTCCCGGTGAGGACACAGGCTCTTTCTGCAGGGAGTTTGCATGTTCTCCCCATGCAGCGTGGGTTCTCTCCAGGTTCTCTGGCTTCCTCCAACAAGGTCCAAAAACATGTTGAGGTTAATTCGTGTTTCTAAATTGTCCGTAGGTGTAAATGTGAGTGTGCTTGGTTGTCTGTCTCTAAGTGTAGCCCTGTGATAGACTGGTGACCTGTCCAGGGTGTCCCTTGCCTTCGCCCTAAGTCAGCTGGGATAGACTCCAGCCCCCCGCGACCCTAATGAGGATTAAGCGGTGTATAGATAATGGATGGATTACCATTGAAACTGTGTACAGACTTTTACACTGATGAGCCAAAACATTAGGACTAGTCCTACATGAGGTAAATAACAAAGTAAACTTTCTCCTAACAATCATGCATGTCAAGTTCTGACATATTAGTGACAGTCTGATCTAGTCACACATAAGGAACAGGCAGACGTAAAGGCCTCAGTAACTGTGACAGGGTTCAGATTGTTATATCTCGACAACTGGGTTGGAGGACCCCTAAAAGGACAAGGCTCGTGGGGTTCTCCCTGGTTACTGACTCCGTGACTACCACTGTGCAATTGTAATGGTCTACATATCCATAGCACCTTTTTAACCCCAGCTAAGCTCGACAAAGTTCTAAAAACACACACTCGCACACCAATGGTGACAGAGCTGCCATGCACGTGCTCGCCTGCCATCACAAACAATGTGGGTTTCAGCACATGGAGAGGTCAGTGGACAAGCTGCTTTAACACATGATGGGGCTGGGTTCATGTTCATTCATCTTAAAGAATGACAACTGAATTGTAACAATTCAACATATGAATATATCATTTGCCATCTTTTGAAGTAGTTGTGCATTCACCTGCTGCCAACATGTGCACAATTTTCCTTCTGTGTAAGGAATATGCTTAAAAGTGCACTGCCCTGTGTTTTTTTCGTAAATAAATCTCTCCATCTTGGTGCAGTTTTTCAAAGTTGACATTTTCAGCAGGAACAAATAAGCTCAGTGCTGACAGCCACATCCAAGGAGAAATAGGGAAGTAAGAAGAAACAGACTAACTCATTGTCGGACTTCATCTTTTCATGAGAAAAAAATGTCAGTCTTTCCCTTTCATGGTAAAATTAGCAACTGTACATATGTAAATTACAATGTGAAGCTTTGTAAGAATCATCTATCTTTGTAGATATTTATAGCTGTGTTATTTCTAAAATGATCTAAACATTCAGCTAAGGTACGTCAGTCTCTGTGGACAAACTGCTTCTTTCAAAACCTTAAAACAGCATATAGGCACATAAAATAAGTTTGTCTCCCTCTGGGTAATTAAACTAGACACAGAAAGAGATTCAACCAATGTGACAGCTACAATAAGGACACATACGTCCTGACACATCATAGTTAATTACAACTGTCCAACTGTTAATGAACAGCGTGACTAAAAAGAGGTAAGGAAATTAAGTTAGTAACACTTTCCCTTCTGCACACATCACGGCAGCAGCTCCTTCGAGCTCTGTAGCGTGGGGAGAAAACACATCTGCATGCCTTTCACAGCTTCCCCTCACCTCTCTCCTCACGTCACTCGTAAAAGGATTGTGTGGCCAACTGCTACTCTGGAATATGGATCGGACTGTTGTGCAGCCTACATATGCTGCTCACCCTTCACACTCTATTAACTGTGGTACAATAGACGGCGCTCCAACAAACCCACTGTGTCTCGCTCTTTCTCTGTCCCACTCTCTGTCTTTAAGCAATAAACTCCAGCAGGCAGCGCTCCAAAGATGTGGAAACAACAATAATTACACAAACATCTTAAATGTCCTCTGGTAACACCTCTGCTGGGACAGTATAAAAGGAAACTAGCTTTGTTTTATGAAGATGGGAGTAATTTCACATACTGAGGCACAAAATATCCTCTAAACCAATAAATCACACACTGTTATTCTAATGACAGCAAACAACAGCTTCTGAATTAATAGCTTTTCTTCAGTGCATTGTGGCCCGGTGTCACAGTGGCGTAGTGGTACTGTAAATTAATAATGCCCGCAGCATGCTTTACACACAAGAAGAAACACCTATTAAGAACCAAAATGTAAAGCAACCAATGAAAGCTTTAGCATTTTAACATGGTTTCACATGTTTACTGAAGAGTAATCCAATCATAAACCCAAGATGAAGAGAGCAGTTTTTGATTTAAATATGGTCAGCGTCTGGTGCTGAAATAAACCTAAAACCTGCATGAAGGAAATTCTGGAAATTTGTTTCTAAACACATTCTGCATGTCAAATGTTGTTTTTTTGTTATTTTTGTGTTTTTAGGTTGGCCAGAAATAATGTCAATTGCAAGCTACTATACCTCCTACAGCCTACAGTTTGTTAGTTAACTGTACAACTGCAACTTCCCTAGATGCACAGCAGTTTGGGCTTCTCATTTAAATTTCCGAAGAATGACAAGACGAAGAAGAGGTGGATTGATTTAGCAAAAAGCCACATTAATGGAGAGCTGAGGATCATCACCAACACCTGGGACCATTTCACATTGAGTAGTTGTATAAACATTCTTTAGAGACAACTAGGCTTTACAGATAATCTGTTACTGTTCAGTGGAGCTGAATCAACAACCTCCCTGCCCAACCTTCGTCCTCCCATCCCACCAAAAACTGATGCCATTGTCATTAGTACATGGTCACCACTGATTGTAAGTTACCTTGTGTGCTTAGTTTATTATAGTATGTAACTAAGTCCTGCAAAGTGATGGAAATATTCCATGTCTACAGTGCACGTTTGTGATTTCACATCTCATCTCTTTGGTTCAGCTGAAACAAACTCGGATCCATTTAGCCAAGTGGTGCAGTCAGCTGGGCTGTTGTGATACCTGTGAATTAGCGTGCACTGCACTTCAGAGCAGAAAATACAGCTAATTTCTCCTGATTTTAAATATAAGTTTATATACTTTGTGATTTTTTTAGGGATCAAATTAACTGGTTGACTAAAAACAGTCATTTGTGGTGATACAAAGTCAAGACGCACATTTTTTACTGTTTACTGCTTTCAGATGATTATGAAACGTTTTGGGAATGACTGTAGTCTTTATGTTTTACAATGAAATCACTATTTCACGATCATTCAGTTGTGTGACAACAGAAGAAGAATGCTATGTAATTTAGAGCATCTGTATTGTAAATTTGGTCAAATTACAGCATAGCTAAGGTGAGCACAGACAGGCTGATCAAAGGTTCAACATCCTGACAAAGGTTGTGAAGATTTGCACAGGTTTGTGTAGAGGCGCTCATTTGTGTTAGAAAGTACACAAGCTATATAATCCTGAGGATGCCACACAACAGGAAACACAAACAGTGAGTGTAAAGGGATGTCCACTTTGTCGTGTTCACAGACCTTTGTCCATGCTGCTTTGGGCCAAGTTGAAGAGCTGAGGAGAACGGGCCTCCAGGATTTGCTGGTGCAGGTTGATGTAGCGAAGGGTCCACCAGGGCAGCAGCTGCACAGACACATGAGAAAAAAATGTTTAGTTTCGGCATCATGTATTGGTTTTTATCTCTGGTTCCTATAAAGTAAAAGCTAATATCCATTAAAGGTACTGGTAGGGTAAATGTATCTAACCAGAATAAACAGGAAACTGCTGCTGATTGTCTTGATTATCGTTTATTGTTGGAATTACTTTATATGATTTGGTTCATGTGGAGACAAGACACATTTGTGGTAATGCCTGCTACATTCATATCTTGCTTCTTAAGCTGTATGTCAAATATAAATCTTGAGTTAAATATAAATATATAAACATAATCCAAATAAAAATTATGATGAAAATACAAGATTGTGAAATTAGAATTAGACCTCTTAAACAGCTCTTGGTGAGAATACATGTTAATGTATGTTTTATGTGGGTAAAGGTAAAAAGATTTTCCAATAAGCGGCTATAAAATGTTTTTATTTTCATTTTTCCTAACGGTGTATACAATTAAATAAAAAAGGGAAGTTTCTATTTTTCATCTCACATGCATTCAGCTCACAAAGTACATGCTTAGGTGAAGAAAGAAATACATGAAATGCTGATCTTAAGGCCCCTTCAGCACAAATAAAACACCAGCAACCAGAGTGCTGCATGCTGGAGCTAAGTGCTGACCACGCACTAAAAACAGCCAACTCCTTTGCTTTTTGCGTTTGACCAGAACAGAAAGCGGCAGGGAGAAAAAAAACAGTGGATGTCTTACAGCTATGTAAGTGCTATATGTCCTCTTACAACAGAACCCCCTCACCACTTGTACCCTCCTGTTCTCATCCAGCGCTGGAAGAGTGGAAGTGAACCATGTAAAAAGCTTATTTGTGTGTCAGCAAGGATATCTCCTGCCTCATTACCAATGCATGATGACCCCATCATCTGGTGCACGGTCGCATGGAGCTTTAATTGTCTGTCTCACTGAATCAATATCCTCCAGCACACACATGCTCTAAATAGGCATGTTCACATGTATGTTCAGTATGTCAAGCATGAGCATGTACACCTTGAGTGGCGCAGCTTCCTGCTCTTATTCCACATTTACTGTTGAGCAGTAGACTGTGAGCAGCTGCCAGAGCGGGTGGAATATGAATGAACACACTGCTCAAAAAAAATAAAGGGAACACCTAAACAACACAATGTAACTCCAAGTCAGTCACACTTCTGTGAAATCAACCTGTCCAGTTAGGAAGCAACACTGATTGTGAATCAGTTTCACCTGCTGTTGTGCAAATTGGACAGACAACAGGTGGAAATTAGAGGCAATTAGCAGGACAGCCCCTATAAAGGAGTGGTTCTGCAGATGGTGACCACAGATCACGTCTCTGTTCTCATCCTTGCTGGCTGATGTTTTGGTCACTTCTGCATTTTGTCAGTGCTGAAGTTGGATCAGTCTATAATGTGATTTTCCACTTATATTTTGAGTATGATTCCAAATCCAGACCTCCATGGGATAATAACTTTGATTTACATTGATTATTTTCATGTTATTTGGTTCTCAACACATTCCACGATGTAATGGCTAAGGATTTTCAACTGGAATATTTAATTCATTGAGATCGAGGATGTTTTATTGTAGTGTTCCCTTTATTTTTCTGAGCAGTGTAGACAGTCCCACCTCCCTGCTGCCTGGTGGGAAACGACAATGGTAATTATTTCCCTTTTCGCTCATTAGCATTTAAAGAGCATATTAACACCGAATCACCTTATAGCAAAAAAACACTGTCGCATTTGTGTCCACATCACAGATGTCAGTGCAGGCACTTGACTGCTTATGCAAAACATGTCCTCTGACATGAGTACAACAATGATTTTCCGCTGCGTGATTTCATTTTAATTTGCTCCTTAAGAAGTTGTAACTTATGGAGTGCGAAAGTCAGAGAATGACTGCCACGTTTTACCTTTTTTTTTTTTTTTTTTTTTTTTTAATAAATTTTGCCTGAAGTTATTTAGATACAGATTTGGAAACTGATTAAAACACAAGACAACCATTTATAAATGGACATAGTGAGATGCAATGTCACCCACTGGTTTGTATTGGAGCAGACCGCAATGTGGACTCGATGTAGATGAACTTAACGTCTGGGACAGAAAAGTGAAGTCAACAAAGGAGTGACTTAAACCTGCATTCATTCTAACAGCCAGCAAAGTGTGGCTACTGTTACTTCAGTTACCATTTTTCTAATGAGGTTACGGTCGCAATGGCTAGTTTGAAGTCTCCTTCAGTACCGTCCAATGGTTATTTTCTAAATTATGATCCCATGTAAAGTAACATAGGCAATAAAGCTGGATGTGTTCCAGGGTGGGACTGCACTGTTATTGATCAGTTACTACCATATATGCATAGTGTCGTTGTGTTCTCAGTTAGATCTACTGCTTGCTTGTTATGGTCACTTTCAGAAAAAAAAAATGGCTCGCCAAAATGCCAAATACAAGGCTTCACAATGGTACTCCACAACCCAATGGGTGACATCACGATTGCTATATCCATCTTTACATACAATCTATGGGCTGCAGTTAATGGTCAGCTCTGGCTTTTCCCTTTCAAGTCAGGATCTTCCAAATAGAGGCACGGATTGTTGCCTTTCATGCCCTGCTACCTTGAAATAAGGCAACTTAGTTACTACAAACACTACCAGGTTCAAAATGAGCTACTTAAGCTACTTTGAGGGGTGTATGTCATTATATCAAACCAAAAGCTTGCCATTTTCTTTGTCACTTCTGGACCACTTGTATACTACAACTATTTTTCGGGGGGAAAAATCTCTGTTCATGCCTTTAAAAGAAGCTCCAAGGTCACAGACAGGGCAAGTTAAGGAGCTGGCTAAAATCCCAGCTGTGATTCACAGGGGCAAAGCAGACATCACAGCCTTCTATGAGCTTTCAGGTCTTAACATTGGAGCAATAATTCACAGAAGGACCACCAGCACACTTGAATGAACACATTTCCATGTGCACTACTATCCTGATTATGTTTGTGTTTTTGGAGTATCCTGATTTTATATTGCACATGTAAATATCCCATTGTGGTTTCAGGAACCTACTTAATCCTGTTTTTAGGGTATGCCAGTAGAAACTGGGATAACACAGCATGTCAACATCTTATCCAGGTTTCTAAACATTCTCTGCTGGTAAAGAACACAGTGGCTGAGATGGAAACTGTGACTGCTGAGTCAGCGGTCAATTCAGTGGTCAATATAACAAACATTGTGATGATTAATATTTTGCATCAGTTATTTAAGAAAGATAAAGTGTAATATATTCCAGACTCACTAAACGTAAATGAAAAACATGTTAAGGCTTATTGTGTTTTGATTTTGATTATTATGGCCTATGATTTAAAAAGAACAGAAATCCAGAATCTCAAATATTAAAAGATTTTATTTTAAGTTTAAGTTAATTGCTATTTGAACAGTACAAATACTGCGTACCCCCTTTTTTTTTTGGGAAGTCTGCTGACATAAAAGTTGTCCAGAAGATGATCGTTGACTCCCTCCACAAGGAGGATAGACCACAGAAGGTCATTGCTGAGCAGGCTGGCTGTTGGCAGAGTGATGTATCAAAGAATATTAATGCAAAGTTGACTGGAAGGGAAAAGTGTGGTAGGAAAAGCTACACAAGCAACAAAGATGACTGCAGCTTTGAGAGGGTTGTCAAAAAAAAGTCTTGGGAGAAACTTGAGAGAGCTGCATAAGGACTGAGGCTGGTGTCAGTGCATCAAGAGCCACCAAGCACAGACGTCTTCAGGAAAAGAGCTACCACTGTTGTATTTCTAACATCAAGCCATTCCTGAACCAGAGACATCAGAAGATCTTAACTGAACTAACGAGACAAAGAACTGGACTGTTGCTCAGTGGTCCAAAGTTCTCTTTTAAGATGAAAGTAATTTTTCCATTTCATTTAAAAATCAAGGTTCTACAGTCTGAAGGAAGAGCGGAGAGACTCAGAATCCAAGGAGGCTGAAGTCCAGTGTGACTTTTTCACAGTCTGTGATGATTTGGGGTGTCATGCCATCTACTGGGGTTGGTCCACTCAGATTTATCAAGTCCAAAGACTTTCGTTTGGAGAAAGAAAGGAAAAACATTCAAGCCAAGAACACCATCCCCACAGTCCAACATGGTGGTGGGAACGTAATGCGTTGGGGGAGTTTTTCAGCTGATGGGCCAGACAACCTTCACAAAGTAAACAAAATCTTGCGAAGAGAGGACGACATTAACATTCTGGAGGAAAATATCAGGCAATCTGCAGAAAAACTTGGCCTCCAGCAGCATTGGACCTTAATATATGAACGCGTTAGAGTGGTCTAGCCAGACTCCAGACTTGAATCCCATCCAGAATCTGTGGAAGGTAATAAAAGACCAGAGTGATAGCAAGGAAGCTGTCACTCTCAAAGATGTGGAAACCAAATCCCAGTGGAGACATTCAGAGAGACCATTAGTAAATAAAACAACTGTTTGATTGATGTGGTGGCAAATAAAGGCTTTCATTGATTATCATAAATTTTGGACATGGCAACAGTGAAATAGTTTAAATTCATTAACAACATCTCAAACACAAGGTCTTAAAAACGTTTGTGAGTTGTTTATGTCATTTCCAGGCAGAAGAAACCTATTGGTCAAATATGAATTAAAATGTGTGATCAACAATTTGGGCCTTTAACTGTAACGTCAGCAGTGCAAATGCAATACCCTTTTGAATATCTGCTCACGGTCCACTAAATAAAAATCCAGTGTTGGTACACAGCTCTGAGTTTGTAACCGAGAGGAAAAAAAGCAAATTAGATCAGATAAATACACACAACACTGTTCACAGAGAACAGTGAAATTGGGAGGAACTGTAAATTCAGCGTACTATCTGCTTGCTATGTAAATACCACCAATCTTTCTGCACAATCACAGCGTCTACCTTTAGCTGTACATGCAATCACCCTTGCAACGATATCCACAGTACATTAAAGACCTCCATTACACATTCTAGAGAGGCATATAAACACTATCAGATGTAAGGACACGCTTGCAACAACTGATTCAAACCACATGTATTACTGTACTATCTCCACTTAAATTGTCTGCTTTATGCAGCTGTTCTTTTGTTCCCATTGAATTCTTTCAGGTTTTTTTTATTTTTTTATTACAGTATGCTCCTGTCTTATGAGCCGCATAACAGGAACCTGCTGTAAACTAGGCCAGTTTAAATGTAACACACTTTTAATCTTTTCCTGTACGATGACAATAAAATAAAATGACAGACGTACCTGGAGGCTGTCCATCTTGGAGGAGCACTTGATGAGAATGACCCTTGCCAGCAGAAGGAGGAAGGGGTTGGCCACCAGGCTGTAGACAGACTCTCCATCCAGGAGCAGGCTGGAGTGGACAGCTTCAACCAGGGTCTGGGGCTGCTGGAAAAAAATGTGGAAATTTCAGTTCATCACTACTGACAAATGACTGAAGGAAATGAAGGTCTGATATGAGGACAAGCTTCAACTCTACTACTGAGCTACTCAGACGTCAGACAGCATCAGAAATGTATATCATACTCAGCCCACGTGTACAAAGCAAACATCAGAATACAACATGAAATGACAAAAAAAAAAACACTGTCTGGGACGACAAATTGTGTGATTCGTTTAGTAATAAATAAATAAAAAACACAAATGTTTGTGCTTGTCATAGCGTACAATTCTTTTGTTGTTGTTGTTGTTGTTGTTGTTGTTGTGCATGAGTTAAAATTAACAATTAAATTTAATCAAGTGGACCTGTGGCTGTTTTTTTGTTTGATGTGGAATAGAAAGAGAGGAAATGTCAGAGTCAATCTGATGACTTCATCAACTGAAACCTACACCAGGTATTAATGACACAATCTGACAGCCTCAAAGTGAGTGTGTACAGTCTGATAGATGTCAGAGCTCAGTTCTCGCACACTAACATAACTCTTGAAATCTTTTTTCAAATGTGTGTATTGAATAAACAAATGTATAATGTTGTCTTCTTTAATTTGTCTTCATCCAACGGCTGTAGCGTCACACAGCAGCACAATTCATACTGTCTCCAAACTGATGGAGGGACTGTGCACAATCGACTCAGAGTAGAGGGTGCTTCATTACTATTTACATCGTCAACCTAAGAATGGCATCTTTTTCAGTGAAATAAGAGGAAGGAAAGCAGCAGTGTTAAGCAGGAATACACCCCGTTCACTGTCAGGGATGTTGCTACATTGTCATTTTCAGCAAAAGCTCAAATATTGTTTCTTTTAAAGAATGAGAATATTCTTTCTAGTGTGTAAAGTGGATTGCTGCAGGCAGTTTTAAGTCCTGTAGCTTATATGCAGCAACACTTACAGTAGTGGCAAGAATGGAACTCATCCAAAGACTTAAGTGAATTTTTAAAAAAAGAGGCTAAAGACAGACAAAGAATTAAAACACAGTTAATTATCCTCAGTCTATAAGTTACTGCAGGTATGTTGAGTCTGTGCAAAGTCATTTATTTATTTTTTGCGGAAATTAAAAGAAACAAAAAAAGGAATGTCCACTGCAGTATTGTTTGCTTTTTTTGTTTTGTTTTGTAACGCTCCATATTCATTTTATATATTTCAACATTGAAATACAAATTAAACGGCACATAAAGTACATAAATGAAACAAAAATTTACATTTTTATGGCCTCTGGCTGTTTAGAACAAATCATTTAAGACATTAGACTGACCAATACAATTGAGATGAATGCAATTTAATTTCTTAAAATGACATTTACAAAAACCTTTAAATTCTTTGTTACTCTGGACAATTCCTAAGCGCAGCACAGAATGTGTGCAGTTTTTACTGGACCTACAGTCCCTGTTTCTACTGCCTGCAGTCTGGTCAATGAGGCCCGACCTCACTGGCAAAGGACTCTCTCTCCTCACAAATCTCAATTCAACCCCTGGTGACATGTAACAAACTTAGACAATTGTTGTTGGTGCACAGTTTAAAGGTGTCTTAAGGTTCACCATATAATTGTAGCATTCCTCCAACAAAAGAGTTCATGTATTGGAAAGCTGTGACTACAGTGACAGATGCACTGCAGTTGTCCATCCATTCATCCACATTCAGCTGTTTATCCAGTTTTGAGTCATTAAGCACAGTAACCATGACTTCCAGTCGCCCTGAGCAGCATCTGTTCCTCCAACCACATCCTCCAGCTCTTACTAGGGGATCGCACAGTGTTCTCAGGCCAGACGGGACCTAATATCAAAAAACCCTCTAGCCAGTTTTGGGTCTGACCCAGGTTCTCCTCTCAGGTGATCGTGCCAAGCTTACCTGCACACGAAAAAGTCCCATCTGAAACTGGGAGGCCTGACACATACAGACCAAAACTAATTTCAGGTGCTTGAATTCATGATCTCATCCTTTCTGTCATAAGCAAAGTGTCACACACATAAATGTGAGCTGGGAGGCAGATGGACGCCAGGCTCAGCTTCCTCCTCGCCACAACAATCCAGTGCAAAATCTTTTTCCCAGCAGACAATTTGTTTTGTCTCAGTAGGAAAAGCAGATGTTACTGTAATACCGTATAAATGGCTCTGTTCTGTCCATGTGTCCCAGTAAACCACGACAGTTGTTCTGACCCTGAAACTTAAGAGGCTAAATGGATTCCAGCTATCACTCATTTTATTGTTTACACCTGTGGTTCAGGCTGGGCCACACATGAAATTAATTTGACTAATTAACAGTTTTGTTTTTTCCCGATATGCAAAATACTTAAACTTTGAAATCCAGGGCCCTCAAACAGCAGTGCAGCAGTGGAAAACAGTTCTCTGGAGCCATAACAGTAACACAAGCCGTCACCTGCATGTACATCCTGCCGTCAAACATGTTTGAATGTAACAGCAGCAGCTTACAACAACGAGGAAGGAAGGTAACCTTACTTGCGTGACATGGAAATGCTTCTGTTTGGTGGAGTCTGCATCAAACAGACCACTGTACTGTGTAAAGTCTGTAAAAACTCTGACTCTCCTACTAAAGGTGTCAGCAAACAAACCTGTCCCATCACCAGACTCAGGCACTGACTCACTAAAGCAGGCACTGGAATTCCAGAACCACTAAGCCTCACTTTCCAGTGTCATTGTTAGGAACCCTGTTTCTGGGTGAGGCAGAGAACTTTCTGAGATACCCTCATAGATACAATGGTGATTAGGCTTCACTTTCATCTCACTTATGACCACTAGCATCAATTAAAAGTGTGCGGTCTCAATTAGCTCCTAAATTCGTAATTTGATAACAGTTGCCTATTCACACATCTAGAGGCACAGAGCAACATGCCCACTTACCTTTAGTTGTGTTTCTTTTTCTCTGATGAATATAAACCAATCTGTCCTGTTAGGTCTGCTTTGGTCAACATAAACTACATAGAAAAACATGCTCCACTATGCTCATCAGCTGTGGGCACAAATAGCATAGAACCCCAGAAACAGCTGCCTGCTGCTGCTAAAAAAGATCGATCAGGGCAAAGTTCTGCGCTGTAAAGTGGAAATAATGAGTCATACATACATACTATATGCAATTATGTAATTGTATGTTTCTTTTAAAAACATATCTGCATACCTTAATTTAGCAATCCCTACACTTTTACACTTACCTGTAGATTAGTGACATTTTAATGATGAAATAGATGCTTTATATGTATTTATCACACTTGCTAAGTTACAGTTTATATTCATTGATTTACATTTGCTGTATCTGTTACAGCAAGCCAGTGATTTCAAGCTGGTCACTAAAGTTTGATCTTGTCACCGTGGTCAGATTTCACTTTATTTAGAAAGAACAGGCTGTATTAATTAGACGCTGAAGTGACCTTAACTTTTTCTTGGAATAAAATCCACAGACAGCGGTTGTCCTATGTTTGTCCTCCCTTTCACCTGTGCTGTCATGCATGCATGGATGACCTGCTTTATAACACTGGCTCCCTGGTCTGACAGCACAGATAAATCACAGATGCCAAAGGAATTACTTTGATAAAAGTAACGGCTCTCTTTTCTGGTGTAATGGCAGGGTGAAACGCACTATTGTACTTGCAGCGCCGCAGTGCCAAGAGGAAGCAATCTCCTCAACTCAGTGTAATTAGGACCCCAGAGATGCTTCATTACCGGGCACTTCTCCTGCACCGAGCCTGTCTACAGCTATCTCTGGTTCTGTTCCAACTCCGCTCACTTTATGCACCAACGTCAAGGTAAGATTGGACACACTCAGGTAAAAGCCAATTCAACAGCAGGCAATGTTTCAAAAATAGTAATATACAATTAATACAACCAGTAGACTTTGGGAGCATATTTACATCTTACATCATCATTTCAAATAATAACATTAAATTAAAAGTATTTCATATTCTTCACAGTAGGGACGACGATGAATACATCTGGCTGGAGCAATCACATCAGAATGACTAGCTGTTGAACTGTTAGAACTACTTATCATTAACCCTCTGAACCCCAAAAACCTGCTAGTAAAATGCATGTTAACGTTTTTTTTAATTTGAACTGAAAGAAAAACCTGATTTTCAACATTTCGATTGTCCTTGAACTACTCATTTGTGATGTCACATTCCATTAGCAACTTTAACACATTAAAGCTCAAAATCATGATATTTTATCTATAGCACTTTATTCTACATGTTTCATTTAAAAAGCCAAACAGTAAAAAGTTTGCACTGGAGTCAATATAAAACACAGAATTCTGCGCTCCTCAATGCAACCACAAAGCCATTAGGGAATGATCTGTGTCTAGCAGGCTGTATTTATACGAAGCAGAGAGGAGACAAGTATGAAAACAAGTTAAAAATGTAAACAGTAGAACATCTTTAGTGTGTAGAGCCATCATTTTTTTCCAGTATTCGCAAGACTTGTCAGCACTTGGAGAGAAAAAAAAAAGATGTTTTAGTTGTTGAGTTCAGTTTTTTAAGTTAAAATAGAAGAAATTATAATAGAAATTCAACTTTCATTTTTCATGATTGAAGGCTTTATTACTTTGTTATTCTGCATAAAACACATTTTTAAATTTTGGCTTCTCTTTGTCATGGCTGCGCACTTTCCATAGAAACCCAGGATCTTATATTGCAGTAAAAAAATGAGCTAACAGAGAAAAAATTCTGATAGAAGCAAAAATTATTGAGAGACTGCCTCTGGTTCAAAGACTAGAATAGAGGAAACTAAAATCATAATCGCAAAAGCCAGCTAGGTCACTAAACAGAAATTTTTTTTAAAGAAAATGTGACTTAACGTACATTTCTATCCACTAGCTTTAAAGACACATGGAACAACACGATAAGCAAAAAAGCCATTTATGTTTTGGATTCTTTAAGGAGTCCATGTTTGCATTGAGAGCAGCTTTGCACACTCTTTCTTGCGCACAGCTTCATGAGGTCATCACTTGGAGCTTTTCCAACAGCAGTGAAGGAGCTCCCACATATGCTGAGCACTCATTGGCTGATTGTCCTTCATTCTGCACTTTGATTCATCCAACTGTGTGATTGATTGTGAAGGCCAGGTCATGTGATGCAGCACTCCATCACTCTGCCTCTTGGTCAAACTGCCTTGCCAGAGTGTGGAGGTGTGTTTTGGCTCATTGTCCCGTTAGAAAATAAAAGCTTGCCCAACTGAGCTCAAATCAGGTGGGATGGCGTGTCGCTGCAAAATGTTGTGGTAGTCATGTCGTTTAAGTGTTGACATGAACTCTGAACAATTTGTCGGCAGCGTCACAATGAGGACTGATTCACACCGTCTCCTCCCAGCAGCTGTTGACGTGTTGCTAGAATCACCACAAACACTAGGGCAAAGGCAATTTGTCGATAAACTATTTTTCAAAGCTAAAAACAAATAAAAGTCATATTTGAAGACAAGAACTATAACTCTAAATGCCAACTACTTTTGGGGTGTTTTTTTGCTCCTGTCACATTTGTACTCTCTGTGGGCTCATTTTTTCACTGCAACGTCAAGTTCTGCATCTCTTTGGAAACATCACAACCATGGTTAGTCATAAAGACAGCTCAAAAACACGACGATGGTTAGAAGTAATGACAAATCAAGAATGTGTTTTGTGCAGTATAACAAAGTTATAATGCAATAAATCATTTGCCACATGAACAGCATTTTACCAAGTGACCCAAGTGACCACAGATGTTACAACACTGAAAAAAATGGTGACTCTCCATGCTAGAGATGTTGTGCTGCTTTTATTTGAAATTTGTTTCAGTACTTCTCTCTTATCTGCTTTGTGAAAGCACAGTCTGCAGTTCAGCCCAGTCCAGCAGAAAATTCCCTGACTTTTGTCACGTGATTGTTGGTTGCAGATAAGCCACTAATGGCTTTTGTGTTGTGTCAAGAACAAATTATTAAAATGACTTCTGTTATCGCAGTGTCTGGTTCTGATGAATGGTGGAATTTTGATGATTTTTTTCATATAGATAGCATGCCTTTGAAACCAGGTTTTGAGGTTCAGAGAGTTAATGCATTTACAATCCCATAACAGCAAATGAGATTGTGGGAAAAAAAACAAAACATATTGCCAGTTGAAAAGTTTCTTTAACTTTTCAGTAGCGTATTCTAATATAAAATCCCTACAGGATACACGGGATGACACTTGACACAAAAGGATGAGACAGTGATGACATAATATCATACCTGAGAGGACAGCAGGGCCTGGGGCAGGAGGTCACAGATATGGAAGGAGACCAAAGGACCAGTCCAGTTACTTTGGGCAAACGCGTGAAGGCATGACACAGCCAGGGTCATCACTGCCAGCTCCCTGCAGCAGGAGGGATGAGACACACACTGGATTTACTGCACAGGAACACTGCAGAGAAGAGATTATATCTAAAGATACTATAAAGTTTTCTGCTATGAGAAAAATGAAATGTTATGTCTATAACTTCTATTCCGTGAAGGAGAGGAATAACCTAAAATGCACATAGCATAGAATACTATCACAGTCTTGCGTGGCCTGACTAAAGACACCTCTGTTCACGCCTTTAAGGCAGATGATCTGTGATAACATACGTGAGGTCCTGCCTGCACATATAAATTCCTGTCATCAGTCATCCAAAGCTGCTCTACACTGAGCCCAGCTGTTGGGGGAAACTAGGTGTTGTACCTCGTTCCTCTGCTTCAGGGAGCAGTTAGTTATAGACATAACATTTTGCTCCTGTTAAGTTGATTGACTTAGTACAACATGTATAGTACGGGACACGTGCACACACCCTGCAGAACAGCCACCAAACTGGAGTCTAGCCTGCAGCACTCTGGTGCATGGTAGACCCAGCAGAAAGGACAGAACGAGCCACCAAAGGGCTGTCACATCCAAACGATAAAACCAAAACACAAGTGTGGGGAGATGACCAGCTAGCTCCAGCACAGACATCACTTACAGGTACTGCTTTAAAAAGAGATTATGTTGCCATGCCCCTGGTGCAATGTGCCCTCATACCGTGAGGCAAAGGGAGACCTATGCTGACATAAGGCGGGGAGATAGCCCCCATAATTCAGTGAGAAAGCTGCTGTTTGGACAGAACTTCACTTTCGGCTGGATAAACAAAACAGACAAACAACTGGTCACATCATTGCACATTCTGAGTGCAGTCAATGCAGGCACATAGTGCACGCACAGGACACAACGAATGGAAGCTCTCCGACTCCTCAGAGCTCAAACGCCAAAGAGCAAAGGGCTACAGGGATGACCTCAGGTAAATGTAATTGTGGAGAAGGAGATAACCTTATCCAGCAGCTCCTGAAGGAACCTCAGAACATTTACAATTGATAGAGAGTTTGTTTGTTCGGTAGCGGGATAACTCAAAAAGTTATGAACGGATTTTCAGGAAATTTTCAGGAAATGCTGATAATGGCACAATGAACAGATTATTAAATTTTGGTGATGTTCTGGCTTACCATCTGGTTATTTTCTCATAAAACAGTAAATGCTGTTTAGCATCACAGTCACGCAGAATACGGTTGTTGCACCGTTTGTCCACCAGAAGGAGCTTTGACTCCATTCAGTCCTTCAGGCCTCACCGCTGTCTTCTCAGTAGTACAGGAGTAAGTTACAGCCAGGCTACTGACAGATAAGTTCAGAACGACATGACATTAACAATGACTCAGCATGTCTCCTGTTTCACTTTAACTCTCTTTGTCATGTGTCAGGACAACTGACCGTGCTTTGTTGCGTCTGTCATGCTTTTCATTTACGTTGCATTGCCAAAGTTGTGCTAACCTAGCTTAAGTTACTCCCTGTCTGTTTATGTTAGCAATGACGTCGCTGTTGTTTTGCCAACCTAGCATAGCGTTAGCTAACAGCTTAAGAGCCAGTAAGTGACTGTAGAAAAAACGTAAGTGTACAAAATATTTGAGAGTACACAATGACCATTTATCACTCTGTCAGCTTGTTATTAATGATATCAATGTTAATTCAAATGCTAAAGGTATGTTCTGATTGTCCATGAATCTAATAGTGCAGATAAAATGAATGCAGGACTTCAACATTGGCTGGAAATCACAATATGGTGGAAATGAGCTGGTTGGCGGAGGTCTGCTCTCTCCGAGTGCTTTTCAAGTTTTGGAGTACAATACTTCGTCAAAATTCACTGAAAACACACATTTTTTGAGCTTTTCAGACAAGACTTTTCTTAAATGCTGGTGCTATACCATGTGTATTTATGTAACCAGCATGCTGATTTGACACAGACAGTTTTGACAAAGCACTTTTATCTTCAGCGAGTGGCTGAGATATGGTGAACTACAGGTCGTGTTCTGCAATGAACGTGCACACGCATATTTTTAGATCACAAACCCGGTCAGTTATTAATGCTGGTACCTCAGCGGTGGCTGCTGCTACCGGCATACGAGTTGATTTTCAGAGCAGACAGCAGCTCTATGGCCAGGGTCTGACTTGTGATCTGACAACACTTTTTTGCCGCTACTTACATATGTGAGTTTTTTTGAACAGATGGTGCAGAAGCAAGCACCCGACTCCTTCAGTTTCTTGCACCAGCAACCAAAGGGCTTGTCTTCTCTGTTTAACTCTTCCAACCACTCCCAGCACCATTTATTTTAAATTCCTTTATCGATGAGGACGTCTCCCATGACTTCAAGAATCTGTCCTCCATGCTCCTGATATCAGTGTACAGAACTCCGTGAAACTCTGGTATGGACTCAAGTGCAGCTGGATCTCGACGTCAAGACCCTACTTCCTATTGGCTAGTGATACCAGTTTGGCTGACAGCACTGTCCTCTCATTCCATTGGTAGACGAACTCAATTGGCAATGTCGTCCTTTTTTTTTTTTTCAGAGCCAAATGCTGCACGCCGGAAATCCAGCACAGCACCGAAATACTTTAAGCCATATATGCACACAGGCCTCTGGATGTTGGATGACGCCTGCGCACTCCAAATTTTAACCACACTCAAGGGCAGACCTTTAGCTTTTAAAAAGGACCTTTCAGCAGGTAGGCATGCAGCCACCACAGTTCTGGGAACTGGCAACTCGCTTGCCAGAGAAGATCCCTGTAACCACCGAGGGGCCACCAGGATCAAAGTGAGGCCCTGCTGACACACCCTCTCCAGAAGGGCAGGGCAGTAACATTTCAACTGGGGCAAATGCGTACAGCAGCATGTTGGGGAATGGCTGGGCAAGCGCATCTATGTCCAGGAGCATGTTGTGTTCTGTTATGGATAAGAACAGAAAGCAGTTGGTGTTTGCCAGCTAAAACTGAGCAAGGCAGTGGTCAAGTGTGGACATTTCTTTGCTCTGACAGATTCGGTTAGAGAGGGAGCATATTTCCAGTCTGATAAAAGAAATCAGCTGGCTCTGTGTTCGCAGGCTTTTCTAGAAATTCACTGAAAAACACAGTGACAGAACAGTGACAGCTGTGTTGCTCCCTGCTCTCTGGAGCTGGCTATCACAGCCCAATCGCACATATATCCATCCATTATCTATACACCACTTAATCCTCATTAGGGTCGCAGGGGGCTGGAGTCTATCCCAGCTGACTCAGGGTGAAGGCAGGGGACACCCTGGACAGGTCACCAGTCTATCACAGGGCTACACTTAAAGACGGACAACCAAGCACACTCACATTCACACCTACGGACAATTTAGAATCACCAACTAACCTCAACATGTTTTTGGACTGTGTGGGAGGAAGCCGGAGAACCCGGAGAGAACCCATGCTGCATGGGGAGAACATGCAAACTCCCCGCAGTAAGATCCCAGGTGTCCTAACAACAAGCCACGGTGTAGCCCAATCACACAGATAAGCTAAAATACAAAAGCTTTTCTCCTGGAGAGGAGATAAAGCCACCTCAACACATTTGGTGAAGGTGAGGTAGGCATGGGACTGGACTGACGCCCCTCTACTGTAAAGAACCGTGGAGCTATTTTTGATCAGGACATGTCTTTCAACATCCACATAAAGCAAGTCTGTAGGATGGCCTTCTTTCTTCTACATAATATCATTAAAATCAGGAACATCCCATCCCAGGGTGATGCTGAGAAACTAGTCCATGCATTTGTAACCTCTAGGCTGGACAACTGTAATTCCTTATGACCAGGATGTCCCAATAATTAGGGTCCGAGGACCCCTACTTGCTGCAGCAAGCAGGGGTCCTTGCCCTTTGGGCAAGGACCCCTATTGTTCCTGCTGCGTTTCTTTCTTCTTCCGATTCTTCTTCTTATTATTCTCCTGACCAACGCGTTTGCCTTAATTAGACCCCCTAAACACGCTCAAAAACTCACCAAAATTGGCACACACGTCCGAATCGGCGAAAAATTTGATAAAATGAAAAAGGAAGGACGGAAATGCTCTCTAGCGCCACCTAGTTACAGAAAAACACACTAAAATGGCCCTAGCGCCCAGTAGGAATGTCGCACAGAGATCAAACCAACACCAAAACGTTCGTCTCAATGAGACCCACAAATCTCGCGCTGACACCCCTGACCTATCTCAAACAGGAAGTTCACAATTTGCCTTTCAAAGTAAAAAAATGAGCGAAAACTTCTTTTGTGAAAAAATTATCTTGTCTGACACCGTAAATCGTACAAACTTGAAAATCGCACAGGAGACAGAGAAGGCCTTGATGTACAAAAGTTCTGAAGGGATTTGGCGTTTCTCAACCGGTTTTCGAATGGCGAGCCGGTAAAGTTGATGAGCTGCCTCAGCCTCGGCTCATACATTGTATGGGTGTCTATGGGGGCATGTACAGACATGCTGTGTCAGTTGGTCATCTACACAAAAAACTAAAGGTCCTACAGCTTTAAAAATGACACTGAGGTCTTCCTAACAAGATTTCCCACAAAAATATGCTGTTTTTACACACATTTGGTGAAAATTGTTGCTGTATGGGAGAGTTAAAGTGAGAGAAAGCGAGTAAAACTCTCAGCTCTCTCACCCACACATGCTGAACGATGACATCATCACAGCTCAGTGCAGCTGGTCATGTGACTCACTGACAGTCTGAGGCTGAGAAGAGAGAAAAATGGCTCCTTCAACTTAAAGCAGGTTTAACTTGTGTCAAAATGGAGGTCAGACGGGCATGAGGGTCCAACGCAGACCGAGGACCCGACCAACGCTGCTTGCAGCTTTAATTTCTTATTAAAACCTCCAGCTGATACAAAATGCTGCAGCCAGGGTTCTGACTGGAACCAGTAACAGAGATCATACTTGTCCCATATTAGCTTCTCTTCATTGGCTCCCTGTAAAACCCAGGACATAATTTAAATCCTTCTTCTCACAAATAAAACTCTTAATGACCAAGCTAC